CTTCTGCTCCTGTAGTCTCCACCAAGGAGGTATCACTGAGGCCCAATTCTGTGGCCTAGGTTTCTTTATGAGGAAAGCTTTTGTCTTGTAGTTATATTTGCAGATAGAACTTGAATATGGTCTGACATTGCATTTGATTCCTAGAAAGAGAAAGCATTCCCACACTTGACAGGTGCTAAAAAGTGTTAATATTTGTAGTAACTACGATTATCTATGGAAAGTCTTGGAATAAATGCTTTCTAAATTGTCTTATTTGGTTTGAAAGAAATCTAATGAGAAAGTTGTATTAATCCTGATTTTTACTGTGGAAACTGAAGCTTAGAGGATATAGAGACATCAGGGTGTTCTGCCTCCCACCTCCCAGATTATTTTCCCTCATTTTCTGTTAAGAACATCCCTTTTCTTTGTGGAAGTTCTCTCCCCACCCTCTGTAACTTTGCTGTAATTATAATATCCTGTCTCTCCTTCCAGAGAGTGTGAACAAGAAAATCAGGACCGGGAAATGTCCTGGTAGTGATTCTGATTGGGGTCTTATCATTCATGGATTTTATACATTAGTGCTGAGAGGAAAGTTTCTTTTACTTCTAAGGCCATTGTGGAAGGATGGACATATGAACCACAATCTTCTCTTTCCTTACACTGTGAGGAAATCCTACCTGTAAAAGAAGACAATGAGACAAATGTACTGAGAAGCAAAGCCAAGAGATGGAGGAAAAAATTTTATTTTATTATTTTATTTTATTTTTTATTTTAAAATCTCTAAATCTGAGTCCATTTCTAGAGTAGAATAATAATCCATTTTTGCTTACTTGTTTTAATTAAGAGTTCTGTAATTTGCAACTAAGAAACTTAGTCAGCTTACCTACAATTATGCATTAGGAGGTTGTAAAGTTGGTTTTAAATTCATGCCTGTCTACATCCAAAGCTTGCGCTCAGTGCACGACTTCAGCTAATACAGCTAAGAGCCACATATTTAAAATTAGTAAAATATTAACAGAACGTATATAAATGCCTATGATCATAATTGACACAGACACTATCCATAAACACAAATATTAAAACTCATGTCTAACATGTGGAGAAAAGTAAAAATAAATTATTTTCCAAGATAAATGAAAGCATATCATTTTCTCTTAGAATAAATCATCATACATAGTAACATGTATTCTTAGAAGTGTAACTATTTCCTGATAAATATATTCACTTAATCTCATTGACCTGATAGAGGCAATGACTACCAGCGGCTGGCAGGTATAACTAAGAAGTATGACTAAGACGATTCAGAATTCAGTGCAGATAGTAGAATTTGATACTAGTATTAGTAAATAATTAGACAGAATTTGGCCTGTGCTCCTTGGTCCACATGTTTTCCATAATGTCACATGGCTTGTGATAGTAGCAAATGTCAGCTCTATTCCTCAGTTTTTTCCTAATCTATGTATGCCATACAATGGAGTGACTACCATTTCTCATCATATAAAATTCAACATGTTTTTAGGAGATAGTATTTATGAAAGATACACATACAGTTCTCTTATATCTACATGGATATTTATTGCCCAGTATTTCCAGGTTCTCAGGTATCACTTAAAATATCTGACCTTAAAAATATATTTGACTTTAAAGTTCAAAATTACAAAAGACCCCTTTGCTGACTGTAATATAATAAAAGAAATGAATAGCTAACACATATGTAACAAAGACTTAGTGATTAAAGACCATGCTCCTAAATAGATCTTTAGTGAAACAGAAAGTACCAAAATGGCAGTTTCAGAATTGCTGTTATGGTTTGGATCTAGATGTCTCCCCAAAGCCTCATGCTTCCATAGAGGCTTTTTCAGAGGTGGCTGGATCTAGAGTGTGTGATGCTGGGATTAAGGATGCGTGATTACTAAACTAGTACACTGATTGGTTTGGTATTTCCCTAATCCCAGTAGTCTGGATAAGATAAAAGGGGCAGAAAGACATTGTTAAGGTTCCCTTGTTGCTTTTGCTGTCTTCCACTGCCATGAACTGTTGCCCCACTCCATGTGCCACCCTGCCTTGGAGCCAGCTGATTATGGCCTGAAACCTTTACAAACTGAGCTAAATAAACCCTTTCCCCTTTAACTTTGGGTGTTGGCTATTTTGTCTCAGCAATGAGAAAAAAGTAAATAATGCAATGGCTGAGAATAAAAAGTTAAAACGTTATAAATCTAAACTCATATAGTTAAGCTTTTCTTATATGCAAATTCTGAACCTAAAATTCCCTTTATCTAAATAAGAAAGAATGAAAAGCAGACATCAAAACCCTTAGCTCAAGAAGTTAGAAAAGGAGCAACAAAACAACCTGAAAGATACAATCAGAAATTAATGGTAATAAATAAAATTACAATGAATACACTGGAATATGTATATATTTTTGCACAGTGGAATTAATAAATTGAAGGTTCATTCTTTGAGGGGACATTGTTGGATTAGTCTCATAGGGGAATGGTAGATAATTTCTTTGCTTTGAATGTAATAAATAAGTCTTATTGATTTTGTCTAATTATAAAAGCAATACAGAATGAACATCTTTAATTAAAAAAATCTGAAATCCAAAATGCTCCAAAATTTCACTTTTTGAGTCATTACATAATGTTGCAAGTGGAACATTCCACATCAGGAAACATCCATGCACAAAATTTAAAATCTTGTATAAAATTAGCTTTAGTCTATGTGAATGAGTTATGTATGACACATAAATGAATTTTATGCTTATACTTGAATCCCATCCCCCAAGATATCTCATCATGCACAGGCAAATATTCCAAACTATGAAGTCCAAAACACTTCTCTGCTGTAGCATTTCAGAGAAGGGATAATACTGTAGGGCCAGGAGTCTGTAAACAAGAAAATAAAATAGGGGGGTCTCATTGAGTCTTCTTGCTAATCCTGACTAGAAGGAGTTAAAAACAAAGTACTAAAGAGATTCCCTTGGGAAACAGGCCAAAGACAGGGATGAAAACAGAGAGGAAAAACCAGATAAAGAAAGACACCAACTGGCCTTGGGACTTGCACCAAGAGACCAGAAAAAGAGCTGACAGGAAGGACTTAGAGAGAAAGCCAAGGGCACAAATGATGTCTCCCTCATCGCCAATAAAATCTAGAAAAAACAAAGATGGGGCTAACTTTAAGGCAGTATGTACTCAAACCTATGCACTAACATATATTCACTCTAGAGTCACTATATCACTCTCTTTAGGGTTATTATAGAATAAAATAGATATTCACGTGCTCCCTTACTAACTCTGAGCTAACCACGAATAAGGTACCTCCTTGACAACTAGCCACCCGCTCCAAAGATAAGGCCTTAAAAGTTAGGTCAAGGACAAGTAAACAGAAAAAAAGCTGCACATAGCCACCAGAAGAATTGAGGTTAGGCAGAGGCGCTGGGCCAGTTATGGCAAATTAAGGGTGGGGGAGGGGGAGGGCAGCTCATCCCCCCATAAAAGGAGCTGGGATTGAACAGCCCATGGGTCCTCCATCTTTCCAGGACCCTCTACCCTGATTATTTCTTATCAGGGTAGCTGTCTATCTTCTCCTTTGTCCCTCCTTTTCCTTCTTTTTACAAATAAAGTGTCTTCTTTTTGTTAAACTTTATCCCTCTGATTTTTTTATTTTTTAAATATTTATTTATTTTTTTATCCCTCTAATTTTTTATTGGGTTTGAGTTATGATCCCATTGGGCTGCTCAGACAACAGAGCAGCGGTGTTTGTCCCCCAGATGCAATGATACAAACCCGTAAAGTATGTTAACTAATAACAAAAATAATAAAATAAAACATTTATGTTGACATTTAGCCCAACATAAAAGATAAGTTAAATTATTTGTGTTTCTCACACAGAATTATCATCTCATACTTATTCTCATCATCTAAGACTGTTCATCTTAGAGATATCTTTTAAATGTTATTTCCATTATTTGCCTGTGTTGCTGTGTGGATTTTGACCTTCAAATCCACAACTAACTCTACGAAGCCTGGATAACTTCAGAAACCTGGGGGCTGGTATAGCTGCCTCCACAGTCTCCATTTTCTGTTCTACTTGGCACATTCTCCATCAGGAGCTGTCTCCCTAGAGTAGAGGAATGCAGCCATGGTTACTATGTTGGCTGGGCAGGTTTAGGCATGGGCATCTGGAGTCTTGGTTAAGTATCCCACTGTTTTCTCCTCCTACTTTTCAATTTCTTGCTGGTTTCTCCCATTGGCCACATTCATCCAGAGGCCAGGGCATCTGGTATTAGGAGAGGTCTTTTCAACAGCAGAAGAAGGGTCAGTTGCGGCAGAGGTTGGGAGGGTCAAATGGAAAACATCCAGCAAACTAGCAACCATTTCCCATTTCCTCCCACAGGTAAAAGGCTACATCGAATTTCTCACTTCTTTGGATCCGACACACCCGCTTGGATTCCTTTTCTTTGCAGTCATATTGTTTTCTCTGGTACGAATTCGCTTACCCTAATTTCTTTGCTTGGCAAACACCTACCGGTACTTATTCAAGATCCATCTCAAAAATCACCACTCCATCTTTCACCTACACACACAAAGAGACAACATAAGGCTAGGTCCTCAAACTTCAACCTTGGATAGGAGGGATTTCTCTGTTTTTAAGCTTCTCCTTTTGGAAAATTAGAACGTAAATACTTGTCTTGACATCCCTTTCTGATGGAAATTGAAAAGATCACAGAGATAAAATGTTCTCCAAAATGCAATCACGTTACAAATTTAATTTTGTTATTGTTGCTTTACCATTTCTTAGGTTATTTTTCCTGTTTGTTGAGATGGATCACAGCACACGGTGCAAAAATCAACTTTGATGGCATTTTAAACCCTAATACACAAACGCCTTTTTTTTCCTTTTTCTTTTATTTTCTTTAGATAGGGTCTCACTCTTCAGGTTTGCCTTAAACTCACCATGTAGCCCAGGCTGGTCTCGAACTCGCGACAATCTCCCTGCCTCAGTCTCTAGAGTGCTGGGATTACAGGAGTGAGCCACCACACACAGCCTTTTCTTTTTACCGCCCTTTCCGTTCATTTATTTCTTTCTCCATCCTTCCTTTTGTGGCTTGCTTATTTATACCTGAATTTAGGTACCCCGGAAACACTGCACGACTTGACTTGTATATTTCACAGTTAAACGGTTATTTAATCTGCGAGGGGGAGTGGAAGGACAAGACAATTCTCCCAGTACAGAACACAAATGTGTGTTCTAAATTGTAACGGTCTGGGAGTAGAGCGTTGAGACTGACAGGATCGGAAATCCCTCGTAGAAGGAGGACGCAGCGTCTGGTGGGTTGGGCTTGTGCCCCGGCTTCTATTCGCGCTTCGGAGCCCGCGCTTGGAAGGCGGAACTCCAGGGAGTAGGGCGATTGGGGCGTGTCCGGATCTCGGTGCCAGGAGCACGGCTGAGCGAGGACTACAACTCCCGACGTGCATGGCAGCCAAAGCAGGTTCTACTCTGGCTCCAAGCCTTCTTTCATTCCATTTCTTAAGACGGACACTGATGTCACGGGTGTGCGTATAGTCATTACAGGGAACATCCAAGCTTGTCTGGTGACGCAGGGGCCGGGAAGAGTTTCTGAATGCCCCATTCTGAGGCCTTGCGGAACTTTCTGCTCCACTGGACGAGTTTCCGGGATTATTAATAGTGGACGGACTCCGTGGCGCGGCAGTTTAATTTTCCGGCGGCGGCAGATAAGCGGACGAGATGGTTCTGACAGTGCTCATCAGGAAACTCGGTACAGTCTGAGTTGTCCCTCACCCGAGGCCTCCTCCTTTCGTGGCACGGTCATGTCACGTTTCCTTGGCCAAGTCTCCCCTCGACGGCTCTCTCTTTTGTCACTGCTTTGCCAGCCCCCCCCCCCCCCCCGTGACCCTTCCCGCACTTTGTGTAAGCTCTGTAGTTCGCGCACCGAATGCGTCGCGGCCCAACTCTGAAATAATTGGTTTTTAAATTTCCGTCTTCACCCTGTCCACGTTCCCCAGAGTAAATTGCGAGGTTTTAGAATAAATTTTGGGTGACCGTCTCCTTGGAGTGGGGAAACAACCTTGCTTTATGCTGTATTTTTTTGACAGGTCACCAGCTGACTGAGATCAGGGAACGCGCCCTCAAGAGTATTCTCTGCAAGATTGAGCACAACTTAATCTGCCACGCTGATCTAATTCAAGAAAGGCTGCTCTTTCTCCACCTGCTAGAATGGTTCAATTTTCCATCCGTCCCAATGAAAGAGGAGGTTCTGAACCTGTTGAACAGATTGGTTAAGGTAAAATCATTTTGAAATAGAAAATAATCAGACCAATGAATATTTCTTAGTCATGTAGCATTTACTGAAAGTTCAGTTATGGGGATTATAAAAGAATTTTTAAAACAATCAGAGATGTTGTATTTGAATTAATCTAGGTATATGTTGTGCCTCCCCTTTTCTCTTTATTTGTGATGTTGAGTCTCAAGTTGTCCACTGTGCTCTGAAGTAGAACAGAACTATTTCTGAGTTTTGGTATGTTGTGATTTCTGGGATCATCTTTGGCAGTTAATATTTGTCATTCTGGTTTGCATTATTTTCTGATATTTATGTTAATGTGTCTATTAGATGTTGATTATATGTTAATGTGTCTATTAGAGAACACACGAAATATGTTAGAGACCATATTTAATAAATAGCATGTGTGTTAAGTTTCTTTCCACATCTGCCTTTTTTTGTTTGATTTTTGAGACAAGCTCTCACTGTGTAGTTAAGGCTGGCCTTGAACCCTCGATGTAGTCCAGACTGGCCTCAAACTCACAGCTGTTCTCCTGCCTCAGCCTCCTGATGGCTGGGATTACAGGTGTACACCACCATGCCCAGCTTCTCATATCTGCTGAAGATATGAGAAAAATCTGAAGATTTATATTCCTATACCTCTAGTAGTTGTCAGGGTCAGATGTTAAAATATAAGTTAACCTGTCCAGTCTTTAAAGAAATGCCTTTGTAGCAGTTCTTATTTCTTTGGCATTCTATGACTTGAGGGTACGAGAGGATAACACGATGTCAGTGGAGAAAAGTAAACTATTTAATAAAAGAGTGGGAATTGATAATGTGGATTTCTAGTGTTCAGTGTGTTATTGTGTTTCTCATAAGTGTTGTCGAGTGTTTTACGTATTTCTCTATACATTTATGTTGTATTTATGGAAGTTGTTTAGGGTATGGCAGTGCAGGATTTGTTTTTCAAAAAAAGAACATTTGATATACCAAAAATAATTTTATGTTTTGATGCCATAGATAAGTTTAAAGATTTTGCTATTTACAGTTATTCTCAAGACCATCCTTTTCTTATTTTAGTATCCTCCAGCAGTCCAGCATTTGACTGACCTTGGTGCTGTAGAATTCTTTTCTAAGCTTCGACCTAATGTGGAGCCAGATCTACAGGCTGAAATTGATGGCATTCTAGATGGACTTTTTGTGCTTCCTTTAGAAGCTCCTGCAGTGCATTCTGTCTCTTACCAAAGCAATCAGACTGGTAACTCTTTGAAATCAATTTGTTGGAATCTGTTGAAGTACAATTATATTGGTTCTAATGCTAAATTCTAAAGAAAAAATTATTAGATTTAAAAAAGTACTTTCACCCTCCCCCAACTTATTTTTCCTGTGCTAAGTTACATGACTGACTTTTATTCTGCCTCTTCTACTGTTATTCAAAAGAAGATACATTTGTATTTATTGCTTTTTCAGTCAGGTCAAAAAGATGCTGGTAACTTTGATTCTGTGGCACTAGCTTGACAGATTATTTCTTTAACAGTAACAACACATTTTTAGATGGATATAGTGGGACATTCCTGTACTCCCAGATGCTCACGGGTCTGAGGCAGGAGGATTGTAAATTTGAGGCCAGCTCTGGTAATTTAGTAAGACCTTGTCTCAAAATAAGGTTAAAAAAAAATAAAAAAGGACTGGAGATACAATTCAGTGATAGAATATTTGCCTCTCATGATCAAGGCTGTGGATTCAGTTCCCAGTACTGCAAAGCAAAACAAAACAAAAACAAAAAACAAGTCCTACACATTTTTATGTGTCAGACATTTAAGTGTGTATAGTTGCATTTTTATACCTTGTGCTTCATACTGGGCCATAGTGACATATGCTGTAACTCATGATTTTGCTTTGGAGACCAGTTAAAGTGACATAATGCAAGGATTTTACAGTCTGCAATACAGTGTTATATTGTAAAATCACATGGATTTAACTTCCACTTCTGCTGCTAGTTTTCTGACATTGGCTCCTCTCCAAGCTTTTCATCCAAAATTGGCATAAAAAGAAAGAAAATATTTCTTATAGAATTGTAAGGAATAGGGTCTAGTATGTATTAAACACAATACGAGCTGCTATTGGTATTCCTGTTATTTAATTATAATGCCCAGTATAGTGCTTTGCACATGGGAGGCAGTTTAATTGATTCAAAGAAAAAATGCTCTGATGATTTATGTGATTGGGTAGTAAAGATATTTTTTATTGCTTAATCTTGTAGATGGTATGTGTATCATTGCAATTCTCTTGCCCCAACTATTGATACTGTTAACAGTAGCAGTTGCTGTTTATTTAAAGTTTCTTTATGGGGCACTGAATGAATTGATTTAAACACATTGTCTCGTTAAATGTCAAAGCAGCACTTTGAATGAGATGCTATTAGTCTAATTTAATAAATGAGAATAGAAATATAGAGAAGCTTGCTCCAACTTACCTGCTGTCTACTGTGTGGTAGAACTAGGATTTTGATTTTGCTGTGTCTAGCTCCAAAACCTGATTGTTACTTTACATTTTCTGAGCCATCGCAAATAAACTAGAATCTTAAATTTTGAAATTTCAATCTTAATTCTTTGCTGGTGAGGTCAGAGGCATTCATGGGTGTCCAATCTTTTTGGCTTACCTGGGCTGCATTGAATGAAAAAGAATTGTCTTGAGTCATGTATAAAATACATAACATAGTTAATGTATATAAGTTACAAAACTGCTTTTATTTTTAATTTTTTTTTATTATAACATTTAAAGAAAAAGGCAAGCAGCCTGCAAGCCACAGGTTGAACATGCCTGTTAGGGCTAATTTTTAGTTGTCTGTAATATTAGGAACTACTGCCATGAAAACTTCAAGCACAAAGTTACAAAATTTAGTTTTAGCCTTTTTTCTGATTCTTATTCTAATTGCAACTGGCATGTAATCAGATAAGTATTCAAAGGTTTTGAAAAATAGTGATTGACTCCTTTGTTTTTGACAATTCTAAATACCTTTTTAAAGGTCTTGAAAAAAAAATTGAAGTAATTAGGAATTATAAAATTGGAGTAGACGTGAGGAGGAAGGTAGACTAAGAAGCCTAGAGGGACAATTCTTGAGTATTTTGTAGCAGATTCTTCATGTACATGAACATCTTTAATGTACAAGATCTTGTCGATCTTTTCATTCTAACAAAGAATTGTATTTTTCTAGTAGGAAGAGAGGAAGAAATCCCTCAATTAGAAATTGGCTGAAGAGTACATATTTTTTACTTTTTAGGAATAGACTATTCAGAGAAAAAAACTAGACTGATTTATTTTTAGTTTTTAAAATAATTGAAAAACTTAAAATATTGCTATTTTAAGAGAGTTTTACTTTTAGTAATTAATGAATCAGTGATACAATAATATATATATATAATTATAATTATTATTATTATTTTCTTTTCAGAATTGTCACAACCTGAAATGGTAACAGGGTATTTTCCCCAAGACAAAAGTAATTTTCAGCAAATGAAAGTGCCTCCTAAACCAGTCGGTATGTACATATAGGGAAGTAAATCCTGCTGATCTGATAAATGAAAAACCAGTGTATTCTTTGTCATTGCTGTGAAGACATACTATGGTCAAAGTTTATTGTTTTAGTACCAAACTAAATGTTTTAGCTGTTTCAAATTGGTTTAAAATATAGAGCTTAAATGGTAAAATGATATATTAGTCTAAATGTATTTGAGCAACCATATAGGTGAGTGATATTGATGTCACCAGTGCATTGTGCCATGCATGCACCCTACATGTGTCATCCATTTTCTAGCTCACTAAATCATATAGTCCATCCAGTTATTCTAGTAAAAAACTCAGGATTGTCATAGTTTCTTTTTTCTTTTTTTTAAACCATTTGTCCAACATGAAGTTGATTAGAGTTCTGATTTAGGGCCCGCTCCCTGGAATCTCTTCTGTAGGTCTTTGTGTGTATGCATGTACTTTATCTGGCTGGTCTCTGCTTACTTGGGCCTCTGCTTTAAAAAGGTGTTCCTATAGATTGCAGAGATTCTAGGCAGCAATCACTTTCTGTTTGTGTTTACTTTTCTTCCCAATACATTTCATGCTCTGAAATTGTTTATTTACTTCTTGTTTATTTTCCTCACTATAAGTTTCATGATGGCTATGAACATTACTTTATTCATAGTGTCTGAAATATGCCAAAAATGCATTAGGCACTGTGTATACTGAATGAATCCTCATGGAGTCACAGTGACATCAGTGTTATTAATATCTTCATTTTACTCATAAAGGGATTTAAGAACATTGTCCTAGGTGACAGGTTAAATTATCATTTATTTAACATTTTACTTTTTGGATAATTGAGGTGAAAGGTTGTGTCCAAGAGAATATCTGTTGATGTAAAGTATTCAGGTAAACCCAATTCGGAAGTCTTCTGTTTTTAAGAAGCTTTCATGGGAAACTTACACGTTGAATAACTGCATAAGAAAGAACAGAAAAATTGTTAATTACTAAAATACTTTACCTGTCCTTTAGAGAAAAGTTTTGTTAGGCTCCTAAGGAGCTTTGTTTTTGAAGTGAGATGGTATTTCTTTGTGTTTGTGAGTAAGAGGCTTAATTGAATGAAGATAAGAGACATCTGAAGGGAGTGGGTATCTCCAGGGCTGGTAATGCTGAGTATTTGAATGAAACTGATGAAAACATTAAGGCCAATTGAGATGTTACACTGTTTATGTGAGTTTCGGTTTGTCTGGATTAATTAATGTGTTCAGTGTTAAGTCTGTCCTTTCCTCCACCCACCTCACACTATTTTCTTAGAAAGTAAACATTATTTTAAGTTAGCCATTTTTGAAAATAGCAGTTGTATTATATCTGGGAATTTAATAGGGCTGTTATCTGCATTTAGTGACTCTATGTTATTTTCAAAGCATTTGGCAGAAAAACTATTTACTATTTGGAAAGGTTTCTGTATACAGTATCTTTCAGTGCTGCTATCTTAACTTGTGCATTGTAAGAGCTTTTAAAAAATAATGTGAGTGGGGGTATTTAAAAATGTGTTGTTTTTGCAGATTTCTCTCAAACTTCTTTGAGGACTGATATTTGGTTTCCAACTTTTTCATCTTTAAATCATCTTCATAGAAATGTAAACATTTAACACCAAGCAAGACATTAGAACGTGACTAGATATAGTATATTATTATATGAATATCATTAACAATTTTTGCAAATAAAGGAAAATTTTCTCCAAATACCATTTCCTTTTATGGCAAATCTAAGTTCAATCTTCAGGTCAGCCACGGGGTAAAAATGGAAAATTCAATTGACACTTTAAATGTCATTCAATATTGGTTTGTTTTTAATGCTCTTCTAATTCTTATTTTAATGAATTCTGTTATTTAACCTGTGAGAGAAAAATTTGCAGCTGTCCATATTTTAGATTGATGTAAGATAAAACCTTTATTTTAAGACTTATTTTCTTAAGCTGCACTCAGCATTGTGAATCTGTCATCTTTTTATTTTTTGATATCTTAAGTTTTACTATTCCATTAACAGTAAATCAAACTACGAAGTGTTTGAAGTTTTCTACATTTCCTTGGTTACCCCTGACAACTACAGACAGACATGTTCTCTCTTCTAATGAAAGGTATAGTGCCTAATGTATTCAGTTTGTTTATAGCCAGTAAGTTTGATAGTTCTTCTGAAAAAGATGCTAACTGGTGTGAAAAGCAGTATTGAGCATATAGAAATGAATTTCAATATTTTCAAAAGAAAGCCATAAAATTCCTATTTGTCTTAACCTATTATTCAATTTTTTCTTTAATGGGGTTGGAATCAAACTTTTTAAGGTCCTTTGTGATGTAAATTATCTCCCATTGGCCAGGTTCTCTGGCCATTGTTTATGCCCTTAATTAATATCATTAATTGTAGCATTCTGTTAGTCTCAGGGTTCATATAATGGTTCGTATGATGTAGTCACTCCTCTTACAGAGGGTTTAGTGAAGGACGTAAAGCCAACCATCAGTTATTATATCATAAAATATAAGTGTTTGGAAAAAGGACTCCTTAGAATTGTGTATTGTTTAGCGAAAAGACATAGGAACCCTTCCCAGGAATGGTGATGGCTCAGCTGAGACTTGAAGATTGTTATAGAGTTAGGCCATTAGGTTACTTAGAATTTGGTATAGTTGAGCTCTTCTTAAAAATCAATACTACATTTTGTAGCTCTTTAAGAAGTAGTAATCACACTTTGATCTGGAACACCTGTGAACTTTTGAAGGACGTTATTATGCAAGATTTTCCTGCTGAGATTTTCCTACAAAGGCCAAAAATTGTTCAGGTGGGTGCTTTCTTTAATTGTTTTAGAGTTTTGCAGTAAAACAAATTTTGCAGAGTAGGAGTTCTTCAGAAGAAAATTTCTATTAATGTATTTAAAAAAAGGAAGTATTTGACTATTTAAAACACTTATTTTTTGACTCACTTGAATAGTTATTGTTCTCCCAACAAGCAGTACAGTATTTTCATTTGACACCTGCAGTTGAATTTAGCTACCTTGAATTACCATTTATGGATCTCCTAAAGGAGAGAACAAGCTTTGGGAATTAAGGTTGAGCAGCAGTAAACTATGTTAACAGTAAGAATATAATCACTTTTTGAATATCTTACATGTTGAAGGCATAATGCTAGATGCTGAAGAAATATTTTTGCAGTGAGTAATATTGATAGGTTCTTTTCTTTAGTCTGTTGCTTATGACATATCCAGAGCATGTAGTAATGACTGAAGATGGACACTGCACACTAACAGGGCTGAAATGTATATCAGGAAATGGCAACTACTAATACATATGGGCAAATGATAGCAGAGGAAAAGGTATTAATTACCAAAATATGGTAAAATGATTTAGGTGTTTGAGGTGAAAAGGACTGCTACGATTTTTGAAAAGCTCTGTGTTATGTACTGTCCTGAAAGGGGAATCATTCCTATCTTTCCTCATAATGTGTATTCAGTTAATAGATTTTAGACATAAAGAAACAGTGGCTATTGTATTTAAATTTTATATCTTATTTTGACCTTGTTTCTACATTTTGTTGAGTCCTTTTTGCCCATGCAGATTGGGCAGCCTGTTACTTTAGATTATTGACTTACCCTTATTTAAACTTAACATCCTTCTTTGAAGTTGGGTGCTTTATTCCCTTAATCATATTCACTGCTCTTCATTTCAGAGCCTGTTGTCTCTGTTGAAACTGGCATTTGAAGGAGATGGAAAACATCGCCTGGCTTTGCAGTCAGTGTCTTGCTTGCAGCAGCTGTGCACTTATTTAAGAAATAGACTTAACTTTCACCGAGATCCAAATTTTTTCTCTAATAAACAAGGTATTTGTGTTTTATTTATTCATTAGCTTACTGGTGTTATTTGAAGATTCTTCTGAAACTTGTCCATTTTATTTACTTTAGGGTTTGCTGTATGCACATTTTCACTACCTAAACTTTCACTCCTAAATGTAATCAAGTCTTTGAGTGGAAAGTGTATGAATAACAGAGCCACCATGATCCCATGCTCTTTTTCCTTTTTCTGAAGAAGAGACCTTTACCAAGTGTTTTTGTTTCTTCTCCCACATATAGGAAGATTCTGTGTACAGTGTGCTCTTGTGTCTTAACGCCTAGGATGCTGAGTATGGTTATTCATGTGGGACTTGACTTGAGGCATTGTAATCAGTTGTATACTATTTTGTTTTGTTTTGTTTGTTTGTTTTTGGTACTGGGGATTGAACTCTGGTCCTTGCGCTTGTGCTGCAGGTGGCAAAACCACTGAGCTAAATCCCCGGCCCAGTTGTATACTATTTTAATAAATTGTAAGATTTGAAAAATATTGATTAGTATTTTATCAAAACTATTTTTATTAACTTGTGATGTAGTTGGAGTATGTGTTGGCAATGCCAGACTTTTCAAAGAAGAGACCCCACCTAATGGCCAAATAGAGTATAGGACTGACCTTGACAAAACATTATGTACAACTTATCTTTTCTGTATACTTATCACAATGTGCATTGAGAGTTGAACATTAGCGTACAGCTATTTTTCATTACCTCACAGGTAATCCCTATTTTGGGAGGAGTTTCACTGGTCTTATGCAGCCACAATGTTTATATGTTAGATTGGCTTTATTATGGACTCAGAGGCCATGGAGTTTCCTTGTTAACATTCTTGGGGTATGACATTCTGCAAATGACTGATAATTGAGCTTCTGGATATCCCATACTTCAGCCGAATGAGTTCTCATGATAAAGAAATAGATGATAATCTGTAAACATTTATTCATATATTAGGTAAATGTTTATCACATACTGTATATTAGATGATACTCTAGCCTCTGCAAAGGTATAAAGTGGAACAAATAGTTACAATCCTCATCCTTATGAGCTTATATTTTAGTCAGTTGGGGAAATATAATGAATAATCAAGTTTGTGTGAACTTATATTTTAGATGACTGGGGAAAAGTAATAAACAGTCAGGTTTGTTTTAGTTAAGGAAAGGTAATTTTTTAAGAAAATTAAAAAGGGGATATGACAGAACATGACCAGGAAAACATAGCATACTTTAGATATGATGATCAAGGAAAGACTTTCAGAGGAGGTAACCTGAAGGGAGATAAGGGGAGTTCTACCTCAAGAGCTGCAAGAAGAGCCTTCAGAGAAGGTCAGGAGCCTCAAGGCAGCAAGAGGGTGATGTGCTTGAGCCACAGAAGTAAGGTGGATGAGAGTGGAGTGTAGAGAGCTAGGGGCCGAGGGGAATGATGGGATAATGGAGAGGTAATTAGGGGCCAGCGTGTATTGAGACATGTTGATATTACCATAAAAAGGATTTTATATTTTCCTTGAAAAGAAGTTCTTGGAGAGCTGTTGTTATTTTTTCCCTTTGTAAATGCTAATTAAATTGTGTCTTTATCTCTCTGTAATATAACTGCCATTATGGCCATTTTTAAGTGTTCATTACAGTGACATTTTATTCACACTGTTGTGTCATCACCATTCAGTTCCAAATGTTTTTCATCACCCTAAAGAGAAACTCTGTAACTAAGTAATAATCCCCCATTTCTCCTTTCATCAAGTCCACTGGAAACCTCTAATTAACTTTCTCTTTCTGAAATTATCTATTTTAGGTACCTTATACATATGAGATCATACCATATTTGTCTTTTTTGTCTGGCTTGTTTCTGTTTTAATGTTTTTAAGCTTTATCCATGTTGTAGCATGTATCAGAACTTCATTCCTATTTTTGGTAGAGTAATATTCCATTGTGTGTATATACTATATTTAGTCATTCATCTGTTGATGGATATGTAGGTTGTCTTTACCTTTTGGCTATTGTAGATAATGCTTCAGTGAACATTGGCATTCAAGTACTTTATCTGGTTAAGTTCCTGTTTTAAGTTCTTTTGAGTATATATCTAGGAGTAGAATTGCTGGGTCATGTGGTACCTCTTGTTTAGTTTTATGAGGAACCACCAAACTATTTTTCATAGCACTTGCACCATTTAACATTTCTACCAGCAATGTATGAAGTTTCCAGTGTAGTGAAATTCCTCACTAGAACTTTTTAAAAAAAATCAGTTCTAGTAGATGTGAAGTGCTATGTCACTGAGGCTTTGATTGATGTATATTTTCTTTTCTTTTTCTTTTTTTTTGGTACTGGGGATTGAACTCGGGACCTTTAGCTTACGAGGCAGGCAGTGGAACCACTGAGCTAAATCCCCGGCCTGATGTATATTTTCTTAAAGATTAATAGTGAATGACTGATGATTCTCTAGTAGGTTTTTATGTGCTTGTTTTTCATTTGTATATCTTTGGAGAAATGTCTCAAAGTCTTTGCCTGTTTTTCAATTGAATTATTTTTCTCTTTGCTGTTGAGTTTTAGGAATTATTTATCTATTCTTAAAATTAAACCCTTATTGGTTCTATGATTTGCAAATGGTCTTCCACGTTTGTAAGCTGTTTTTACACTTTCTTGATACTATCTTTTGATGCACCAAAGTTTTTAAAGTCCATTTTGGTAGTGCTTTTGATGACATAACTAATAATCCATTGCCAAATCCAAGATTTATTTTTTGTTAAGATCATTATGGTTTTGACTCCTAAATTAATTAATTAATTAATTAATTTTTTTTGTGGTATCGGGTATCGCACCTGGGTCCTTGTGCTTGTGAGGCAGGTGGTAGAACCACTGAACTAAATCCCTGGCCCTTGGCTCTTAAATTTAGATTGTTGATCCATTGTGATTTAATTTTTATATGTGGTTTGAGGTAAGGGTTCTCAGAGAGTTTTAAGTAGGGGGATGGATGATCAAGTATTGTTCTGCTGGCTGGTCTCTAATGTCAGTGACTATCATTGTCTAGAATACTTGTAGAAAAGGTTGGTCTTTACTTTTATTCTTTGTCTTATTTCTATTATCTTTGTTAATTTTTTGGAAGCATGACATATGTATGTATATATATATACACATACACACACACTATATAATGAGAAATTTGTTTGTACTAAGGGATTTAATTTATTTCTTTATTTTCCTAGACACAATTTCCCAAAATTCTTCTATGTCTTATTATCATGAAGCAAGAGCTACTCATCATTCTCACAATCAGTCCCCAGGAAGCAGCAGCCCTCGGCCTTCTGTTATTGGGCGCACAGGCCAGCGACCCAGAGGAGATGGCCAGGATTGGGATGCAGTGACCTCAAGGTAACTGATGGCTGTGTCTGAAGGACATTAGAAAGGCTTTGTTAACATCTGTGTGTTTTCATTTCAGAAGTAGATTACTCTTTTTCTCAGTCATCTTTTTAGAAAAATTATCTCAAATATTGGCCTTGTGTTCAACCACTGGCTTTCATACTTTTTTGATCATGATCTGCAGTGAGGATAAATATTATGTTGTAACTCAGCACTAAGTACCACAAGTGTATTCTTTGTATATGTATTATGTCACCAAAAGAACATGTTCATAAAATATTACTGTGATTCTGTGCTCTGCATACTGAACTATTTTTTCTGTTCCTATTTCCTTAAAAAGAAATGATTCTTACTCACTGAGTTTTTATGTTATAAATAGATATGATGAAGTTTAAAAAGCTTGGTTTTAATTGATGAATATATTTTTGATGGTATTTTTAAACACATTTTTCTAAACCTAGTCGCAGTGTAAATGCATGGGCCTTTATGAAAGGAATGACTGCAAAATATTGTTAAATAAGAACTTGTTCCAGGTGAAGAGTTCGTGGTATTTTATTTCTGTAAACACTGATTTTTCTTATATAAAGTTTGCCTAAAGAAGTTGGCATGATATTTGCAGGTTATCCTATCCTAGTCTACAAACATCTTAAAAACATATTAATCTCATCTTTAGTGTCATTCTAAAAACATGTTCAGTAAGCTGACCATGTGTGTTTTGATTTGATTATTTTCTTGTGAAACTTACTACTACTGCTACAGATTCAGGTTTGCTTGGTGTTTAGGGTTAGGCTATATGCTTGGCACACTTAGTTACTTTTGGTTGTCTAGAAAATAGTTTAATAATAGAATTGATATTGTTATTATTGCTATCATTTTATACAAAATCTGACATTTTAGAGAGATTAAGAGCATAATGGTCGGTAAAGAGCAGAGCTGGGGCTACATAATATAGCAAAGCCCATGCATACTCTTAGCCTTATATTGTAGTTGGTTGATCAGTCATGATTTTTTATTTTACCCTCATAAATTGCCTTTTTATTTCATTTTCTAGTGTGTTCCATGCTTTTAAGTTTTCTCTCCTAAGTGAACAACTTCTTCATGGGAAGCCTGTTAAAGATTGAGTGAAACCCAGGCCAATTTCATGTTTTGGGATGCTTAGGGTTTTGGAATTGAAGAAATGATAAAATAGGTATAAACTTGAGGACTTTTAAAATGTGCAATAGTAATAATGTATCTCTATGAATCCACTTCAGTGTGGATAACATCAGAAGTCAAAAATTTGAGGACTTAAGGTAGTAATTTTTAAATGAGAGCCAAAAACGGGATGTTCTTTATATTTTTTGGCAGTACTGTTATTGAAGCTAGGGAGTCACACATGCTAGGCAAGTGCTCTATCACTGAACTGCATCCCTGTCCTTATTTATTTATTTAGAGACAGAGTCTTATTTATTCCCTAAGTTGCCCAGGCTGGGCTCAAACTTGTGATCCTCCTACCTTAGCCTCCCAGAGTATTGGAGTAACAAATGGGTACCATCATCCCCAGCAGGCATGTTTCAGTTTTTTAGGTGCATATTCAAAATCATATGATGTTGAATGTACCAAATAATGTTTCCTATGATTTTTTTTGTTTTCTGGGAACATCCATTTGCTAACACTGGCTTATTTAGAACATTTGGTGAGAATCACAGAAAATCTTGGAAACTGCATGAACTATTTAGTCCTGGCTTCATGAGTGATTATAGGACTACTGGAAATTTGCTTGTTTTCTTTTAGAAATGAATAGATTTATTAGTGCTTATGTTGATTACTACTGCAAGAATGTTGAAATATTCAAGAAGAGGAATTTGAAAAGCAAGATATAAATGCATTTTTGGCTTCATGCACAATTTTTATTTTTTAAATTTTGTGGTGCTGGGGATCTAACCCAGAGTTCTGTGCATATTAGTCAAGTACTCTTTACGCTGAGTTATAGTCCCGATTTCTTTATGTACAACTTTAATTCCTCTTTATGGAATTTAATCTCATGAATTTGTCAAGCTTTTTAAAAAATCTGACCAGTATCATGTGAAGTAACATAATTGTGATCATTATGAGTCTTTTAATTCGCAAGGCAGCAGGTAAACATAAATCTGTTTGAGGGTTGTTTCTGTATTCAACATTGATCATCTGTTTACTTTGTAGTGGAAGTAGTAGTCATGCTCATGTGAACTCTAGGATATCTGTCCATTCACCTTTGGATATGGGACTCATAGATCTGCCAGAGCTGGAAACTGAAGACACTTTGGAACTACAGTTCCAGCAGCTGAGTCTTCCCCAGTTCTGTGTCTCCATTCTGGAATCAGCAGTTCCTCTCTTAAGAACAGGTTAGTTGTTTTTGAAATCCTAATTCTTCTTTAACAATTTGTGTCTGATCTAGATTTTTTTCCAGCACTATTTCTTTTGTTTCTTCTTCCATGTTAGGGCCTTTAGAATCTAGTTTTACTCATCTTTTGGAATACAAATTCCTAAGAATTTAATAAAGACTTACTATTTCTTATTAAATTGAGATGCCATGAAATGCTATTCAGAAAGAATATCTCCTTTCCATTTAAGAGTTTTTTACTGCCACAAGCTTTCATTTCTGTATGGCTATTTTAAATGTGAGTACTGACCATAAAATGCAACTGGGAAAAGTGTACTGCATGATAAGGCCAGAATAAAAAAAAACTTGGATGTTCGCTCTTTAGAAACTTTTTGAGTTACTCTCAGTTGTTCACACTTTTCATTAATTTTTTCTAAGTCATGAAATATTGATAAACAAATTCTTACCTTTATAGTTCGTTTTCTTAAAAAACCACATGTATTCTGGGATTACACTTTTGCTCAAATATGCTAAATATTCTTTTACTAAAGAGTGATAACAGCAATTACATTGTGGCTAATAGCTACTAGTACAACAAATGTATTGAGTCTCTACTGTGTATGTTCAGCTATTGTACTTGGTTTTATGAGCATTATTCCATGCAGTCCTCACACCAATCCATTTATTCTTTCAGTAGTGGTTGTTAAATTAAAAAAAAAAATAGTACATGTTTGGAATACATGATGTTTGCATTCATTTTAGGGAGTGGGTACATGTACTTAACATATCTTGATTCCTCACCCACCTCCCTCCCTCCGTCTCTAGATTGCCTTTCCCTATTTCATCATTATTATACTTTTTAGTTCATGTTTGTGACATATAAAGATTGTATTCATTGTGGGTAGTTGGTGCATGTACATGACACATCTTAACTTTTATAAATGAGGAAACTAGAGTTTCAAATGATGTGCAAACCTACCTAAGTCAGACAGCGAAGAATAGGAACTTGACTCAGGGTTCATCTGAATTCAAGTCCATGCTTTTAAACACTTCAATATTTTGCAGAGTAAAGAAGAAGCACTAATGATTTTTACTCTCCATATGCATACATTTTTAGCAGCTGATATACTTTTTGGGATACAAATACAAGATAAGTGATTTTTACCCATTTTAGTTTATTTTGTCAAAGTAAAAGGTATATCTTATGTAAATGTTTCTTCTTTAAGACCCGTGGGTTTGTTTTTCTGTTTTTTTTTTTTTTTTTGCCTGCCTGAAGGAAATGGGGAGGAAGGCAGAAAGAAGAGATATATTTGGAAAGCATTGAACATTTTTTTTTTATACTAAGGCAAACCATTCATGTCACTGAGTGAAAAACTGCGTTTAGGAGTTAGGACAATTCATTAATTCATATACTAATAATGTGAAATGAGGGAAGGTGTGAACTTTGGCATCATAAAATATTTTTGTTTATCTGCCTAGCATCCTGGGAAGAACAGTTTTAGACTTGATGATTTTTCATTTAACCTTTTCTTAATTTGCTGTAAAAAGTCAGATTGACAATTATAAAGCTATTATCTTGGTGTATAAAAGTTTCTAAATGTTCTTTTGCCCTTTTGTGGTAAATTATTGCATAATTTGCAGTTGTTCAACATTTGGAGGGATTTCTAAGAGAATTTGCTCCAGCTGTTTTAATGAAAAAATTAATCTAGGTCCTTATGATCCTGGAGTTTGGTTTTACTTTTATTCATTGGAAATTAGCTTTGGGACGTAGTATAGGAAAGTCTTTGAAAGTTCACATAGGAATTATGGAAAGTGGGATTCTGTTTTTCTGTTCCATTGGGGAAAAGAGATTGCTTTGGTTGGTATGACTTGACAATACAGTTTCTTTGGGAATTTTTTTGGAGGTTAAAATGTGTATAAGTGGAATTCTTGAAGTTTCTTTAGCACATATTCAGGCTTAGCTTCCCAGGCAACTTCCATGTGGGAAAATACTAATCTATGATAAAGTTCAAGCCTTCTAGTACTAAGGAGAAATTATTTTCTAGACTCTCTTGGTGCTTTGTCACATATCATGTGTAACATGGATGGTCTCTGAATTTGAAAAATCACTTTAATGTATCTTGCAGTAGTTTTTAGATTATTGCTACTCTCTTCATGAGTATCTTTCTCACTTTTGAACACATTTGATTTCTTACAATCAAGAAGTATTACAATTGGAATGGAAGTCTTTAGTGGTGGTTGTGGATTGAGGCTTCCCTGTTTATCTCTGTCGATAGTTCTAAGAATGTTTTGAAAAAAAAGAGAGAAATAGGAATTTGAGTGCATGATTAATTAGAGAATTCAATTGATTATTTGAAGTTAAGTCATTATCTTTCCCTTACTCTTCTCCTATTTCTGTTCTAGGTAGTAGACAAATGATAATAAGAGTTTTGGAATTGCTTGCAGAGAATATGATACTAATTGATGAAGCAATTTCAGCTGATATTTGGGATGACAGCAGCCTTTTTGCTATAGATATGGTGAGAATCAATGTTTTCTTTGGGTTATGGGTAATATATTTAATTCTGTTTCTTTTAATCTGGTTTTATTATCTATTGGTCTTTGAAAGCTCTGTTTTTTTTTCTGACAGAGTGTATCTTAGACTCCCTACCCCCCTTAGTACTAGGAATTGAACTCAGGGCCTACACACTGAGTTACATCCCCAGTCTTCTTAATTTTAATTTTAATTTTTTTTTTTTTTTGAGACAGAGTGCTGCTAAATTGCTTAATTGCCCATGCTGGGCTTGAACTTGCAGTCTTCTTGCCTTAGCCTCCCAGAGTACTAAAATTGCAAGTGTGTGCCACTGTGCCTGGTTTCAGTTACTTTTAATAGGGAAGATCTATCAAAACTAATAACAGGGCACTATGGGTATTTATAGGTATTGTAATATCATTTTTCCTTTATAGTAACAGAACTAGGAAATATATAACTTTAAAAAATCATGAATTCATATTGCTAATTTTCTGATTTTAAATTTACATTTCTTATACATTTGTCAGAATTCATAGTCGCTAGCAATACAAAAATAATTGCTCATTAGCTTTAACCTTTAGCATATAAAGAATAGGTGTTTGTTTTTTGTTTTTGTTTCTGTTTTTTTGCCCTAGACTAAATTTCACTAAGGATACCCAGTGAAAATAGGTCTCTTACAGTTACTTGAGAGAATTCTTTTCTGTTACAATTTCAACATGAAGTTATATTTGCTTGAGTTTGTTTCCAATTTTTGAAATTATTTTTTCTTCATAAATACATAGCTCAGAGATGTCTCCATGTCATCTTGTTCTCTTTAAGAAGTTGTCTTTATTGATAACTTTTAATTTTATTTTCTGGTTTATTCCTTCTATTTTTATTTTTTATAAGTATAAACAAAATAGTATGTAAATTCATACCCACTCTTCTATATCATAATATAAAAGGTAGAATATTATATACATTATGTTACACTTTATTTTTATAACTTAAAAATATATCATGTTGCATGGAAAAATAGATATGGAGTTTATTCTGCATCCATACATAGAGATCTTTCTTATTCTTTTTTCTAGATTGTAAGTACTTCATTGTGTATTTATTCATGCAATGTCTTATTGATGAACATAATTGCTAATATAAATTATGTGCAATGAATAATGTGCTTATGTCATTTTATGTTTGCACAAATGTGTCTCCAAGGTAGATTTGAGATTGCTATTTCAAAAAGTAAATACATTTCTAGATGTAAATATTGTTAGATTCCCTATATAGTTGCCTCTTTTCATTCATCCAGTAGCGGTATATTAGAATGTGTTTTCTAAGGGTGAAGAAGGCATCAAAGAATGGAAAGACATTCCTGTAGCTGGATAGACAGAAACAATTTTGTAGAAATGGTTATCCAAAACTGATGTATAGATCTAATGCAATCCCAAACAAAATACCAAAAGCATTCTCACAGAACTAGAAAAAAAAATACTAAAGTATGTATGGAACCAGAAGAGACCCAGATAGCAAAAGCAGTTCTGGGGAACAAGAGCAAAGCAGGAGGCATCACACTCTCAGATTACAAGGTTACATTATTAAAAAACCGGCTTGGTACTGGCACAGAAAACAGACATGTAGACAAAAGGGATAGAATAAAAAACACAGAAGCAGCCCCATGTACCTTTAGTTATCTGATCTTGGTAAAGGTTATAAAAACAAATGCTGGAGAAAATATAACCTCTTTACAAATGGTGCTGGAAAAACTGATTATCTATATGTAGAAGAGTGCATCTAGACCATTATCTCTGACCCTATACTCAAATCAAAATGGATTAAAGACCTAGAGGTAAAAACAGAAACACTGAATCTGCTGGAAGATAAAACAGGTAAAACACTTGCTGCAGACATAAGCATAAGCAAGGACTTTCTGAACAGAACTTTATTTGCATAAGAAGTAACATCAAGAATCAACATGTGAGATTATATCAGATTAAAAAGCTGCACAGCAGAAGAAACAACCAGCAGAGTGGAATTTTTTTCCCCAGCTCCTCCCTAGAGGACTGCTACCTAGAATATATAAGGAACTCAGAAAAAATTATACCCACCCCCCCCTCAAACAAAAGACCCAGTCAAAAAATGGGAAAGTGAAATAAATAGTACTTCTTAAAAGATGTACAAATGGCTAATAAATACATGAAAAAACATTCAGCATCTTTGGCTATTAGAGAAATACAAATCAAGACAACACCGATATTCTGCCTTACTCCAAAAAGACTGGTTGCCATCAAGAACTCAAAAAAACAACAAATATTGGTGAGGGTGTGGGTAAAAAGGAAGTTTTCTACAGTGTTAGTGGGAATGTAAACTAGTACAACCACTTGGAAGTCAGTATGAAGATTTCTCAAAAAATTAGAAATTCCATTTAACCTAGCTATTTCCTTCTGGATATCTTACTGAGAGAGTTAAAATTGTATTACAGTGATACATGCACACTCATGTTCATAGCAGAACAGCTCATAGTAGTCAAATCTTGGAAGTGGCCTATATGCTCAGCAACAGATAAATGAATAAAGAAAAAATGTTTTATATATATATATGTATATATATATTATATATATATACATACACACACACACACACACACACACACAGTGGAGTAGTACTCAGCAATAAGGAAGAATAAATTTGAGTCATTTGTAGGAAAGTAGATTTATCTTGAAACCATAATGCTAAGTGAAAAAAATAGGACAAAGTTTAAATATTGCATGGCTTATTGCTCTCTCTTTTTAAAAATTCTTTTTAATATTTTTTATTAGCACATGTTTGCAGTTCATAATGTTTACATTCCTTGTGGGGAGTTTGGTACATGTACATAACACATTTTAATTACTTTTTTCATTCCCCTACTCCCCTCCTCTTTCCCCTGTCTCTTCATCTCTTGATCCCTTTCCCATTTGAGAGAGATCTATCTCCCTAGTCCTGTCATCTTTTATTTTGCTCTTTACATTTTGGGTTTCTCTTTTAAGAGAAACCATGTGATATTTAAAGTTGTGTCTCATTTATTTCACTGAACATTATGGTCTCAGGGTGTGCATCCATTTTCCTACAGATGACTCAATTTTAATTTTCTTTTTTTTTTTCAAGTATAGATTTCACACATTTTCTTATCTCTTGTGTATTTTTATATGTGCAAATATGTGTGTGTTTAACATCTTCATTGAAATTTAATAAACTGTACATGTTTAAAGGTTTTTGTTCCCTTGATTTATTTTCTCTTTTGATGCCAATTCCCAACTCTCTTGATTATTGTAGCTTATGCTAAATCAGTCTTGAATTGCAGTAGTGTAAATCTTTCTACTTTGTTGTTCTTTTTCAAAATTATTTTGGCTATTTTGTGTCTTCTGTATTCCCAGTGTGAAATCAACTTGTCAGTTCAAAACAACAATAAAAACCCTGTAGTGATTTTGAATAGAATAGAGTTGAGTCTATACATAAGTTTGGGAAGAACTGACATCTTAAAAAGTAATTTTCTGACTCATGAACATTATTTATTCACATTTTTAGCTCTTTTTTTGTCTCTTAACAGTGTTTTTAAGTTATTGTTGTGTAGGTCTCATCTAAGGGTTTCAGTTGTGGTTCTTTTTCATTGGCTAATTTTTCTTTTTGTGAACTTGATTTTTAGTAATCTGGTTTGTTATTCTTTCCCTCTGCCTTCCCTTTCTTTAATTTTTCTTACCTTGTCAGGGAACTAAAATAAAAATTGATTAGATATAAAAGTATATATTAACTCATATAGTTACCAAATGTCCTTTCTTTTTGTCATTTTGATCTGTCCATCTATATTTAGTTAAGCTTTTCTGTAGCTTGTCTGAAATCCTTGTGAATAGAGATCAGAAAATAAAAAATAATGGGCTGGGGATTTAGCTCAGTGGTTCCACCGCCTGCCTTGCAAACACAAGGTCCTGAGTTTGATCCCCAGTACCAAAAAAAAAAAAGTATAGAGTCATAAAATACAGATATTTGCTTAATACCAATACCCATATGTATCAGTTAGCTTTCCATCACTATAATAAATACATGAGATAATTAACTTATAAATAGAAAAGAGTCATTTTATTTTACAGTTTAATGGATTCTGGTCCAAGATTGGGTGGTCCTATTGCTTTGGGCCTCTTACAGGTGAACTGGCTGGCAGTAGTTGGCAATATAACAGAAAACTACATATTTCATGTCCAGGAACCAAAAAAGAAAGGGAAGATTCTAGGATCTCACAGACCCCTTGAAGGGAACGCCCCCAGTGACCTAAGGATCTCCCACTATGCCTCATCTCCTACAGGTCCTTAGCACTTCCAGTAGCACCACCCAGGTGACCAGGCCTTCAGCACATGGACCAGTGGGGACATTCATCATCCAAACTACAGCATCATTTGTGAAAATCCCAAACCTTCATTTTTTAAGTAACACAAACCTCTTGAAAAGAAATGTTATTTTTTTGCAATATGTTTATGTTGTAAATTCCTTCAATTTCTGATAATAGTTCTTAATCTTGGTTTTTATTTAGTCTTTAAGGTTATTTCACTTTTGTAGGTCTTTTGGGAGATTTTCACATATCTAAGGTTTTCAACAAGTGAGTTTTTCCTTAGAAATGTGAGGAATGCTTTATCAGTTGCTTCTTAAATTAAACTTTCTTGGCCAGAACATTTATCTGTAAAAATTAGTCATTCACTTTTAGCTTTTGGCTGCTGATCTTTTATGATTCAATGAATTATTTTTACTTTAAAGGTTAAATCTGTTGCATAAGTGCCAACTTGTTGGCAATGCTAAATTAAATTGCTGCTTGAAATTATATTTGATTTACTTTTTAAAAAATAAATGCCTCCTCAGAAAAATCTTCCCTTTGTGTATATATGAAAAGAAATAAAGAAAATTTCTTAATATCCCTACTTTTGCCAAATTTAAAGAGAAAGAAGCATTATTAATGGAGAAAAATACTATATTGTGTTACCAATTTATAGCATATACCTGAGGATATATATTTAAATTTCTAGCTGTTTTTATAAAGTTCAATCACGGGGCTGGGGATTTAGCTCAATGGTTCCACCGCCTGCCTCGCAAGCGCAAAGACCAGAGTTCGATCTCCAGTACCAAAAAACAAACAAACAAACAAAATAAAGTTCAATCATGTCTGGTACTTTGTAACTCATAGAGATTTAGCATTATTTATATATTATATATATAGTCATATATTTATATATATTTATATGTATTTATTAAATATATTTATTTATATATTATACATATTTATATATTTTATATATTTTATTGTATATTATATACAATTTTAGCATACTAAAGTAAAATATTTTTAGCATACTAAAATAAAAATTTTCTCCTAAAATTGAATATTTTATTTCACTTGAAGTAAATAAGACAAAAAATATTTTCATGAAAATTGTTATTTTTTTGGTTAAAATAGCAAACTCACTGATAAACAGTTGTAGAAATTAGGTTGACCCAGAGTGTGTCATCCCTGTCATTGCATCCGAAGTCAAGTCCTGTACTTTTTACGTGGTAAGTTCGATTCAAGGAATAAGGAGTTTTACCTTCTGTTAAATAACCCCAGACTGTTGGGGTGTCATCTCTGTGTTACTCTTGTCCTTGACAAGCAGTCTTTTCTCCTTCTTTAGTACTTGTTGATTCCAGTTTCCCAACTGACCTGCTGTGAGCTCACTTTTATTCTTAGTGTGCAGATTGTTTCCCATTTTTATTTTCCCATTCTGTATTTTCAGTGGAAAATCAAAAACAGGAATTCCAGTGCTTTTGTTATTGTTGTTCTTCTATGCTATCTTACTGATGCTGTCTTTTCAACAGCTAGTTTATGGGGGTGTGTTAGCACATCTAGGATGTATTTTGGTCTGTGTTAGTATTAGTATTAGTATGACTTGTAAGCCATATTACTTTATCTTTTTCTTCATATTTTACATATACCTTTCAATTAAAAGATTAACATCTATTTAAGTGATAAATTATATAGAAGTTTATGATGACGGAGCATTTTCTATTTGAAACATCCTTATTACCTGAAAGGCATGTTTATATAATATGATATTTAATTACTTTTTAATTATTTGGCTGCTTGTTTTATTTATTTAGTAAATTTGGGATGAATTAGAGTAAAAAGATCATGTCTTTTGTACCAATGCTTTTTTTCCTGCTATGCCTGCCACTGTATGAAGCATATAGTAAACCTAATAAATACTTGAAAAAAATGTACATCCATGTTTTCAGTGGAAGGAATTAAGCACTAGAAATTAGAAGGAATTTATGGTTCATTAAGCTTTTAAACCTTTTAATTTGCTTTTTGTTCATTATTAGGATCCCTCATATTAAATAACTACATGATTGGGCCCGGGGATTTAGCTCAGTGATTCTGTCATCTGCCCTGCAAGTGCAAGGACCTGAGTTCGATCACCGGTACCAAAAAAAAAAAAAAAAAAATATATGATTAGTTTTCATATGTATGCTTATCATCCTTTTGTACTTTTTTATTATTTCAGGAGATACGGGTTATTTTCAAAGACATGTAGAGCTTTTTTTGTTTGTTTGCATTGTTTTCAGAAAGAGAAGCTGCTACTGGTGTTGGGGTCCTTTGGAGAAACTATGTGTTACCATAAAAGCAGTGTTGGTGTGGAACAACCAGAGGTAATGTTAGTGCACCACAGAATGGCCTTTGTCAGCATTGCACTGTTTGCAGTTCGACTGTTACAAATGCTTCTCCCTGTTGAAAAGGTAAGGTGGGTAATGCTGCCTACTAAATCTTATAAATAAATGTTTTGTTGTGAATTTCTTCTGATTATTTCATGGTTCTTTTTAGACCATTTTCAAAATAAGTACATATACAGTGATTTTAAATGAAATATGGAAATTGAAATATGGTTAACATTTTGAAAAGTTTTGACATATTTGATAGAAAATCATTTTTAAATCTAGCAATTGCTTTTATTGTATATATTTTATTGTAATTCTGTACATTTGTTTATTCCTTTACTTGCTCATTAAATATATGTTTAAATGAGTGCCTATAAGTTAGAATTGGTCCCACAGAATTTAGTTTTAGTAAAAGATAAGACTTGGTTTTATCTAATATATATGTGTGTGTTTGATTTACTTAGCTCTTTTATTTTTATTCTTGTACTGGGGATTGAATGCAGGGGTACTCTATCATTGAGCTATGTCCTTGACCCTTTTTATTTTTATTTTGAGACAATGTCTCACTAAGTTGTTAAATGACAGAGGTGAGGCTTGAATTTTTATTATCCTGCCAGGCTAGTATTATAGGTGTATACTACCATTCCTGGCTTCATGTCTTTACTAACTTTGGGATCACCTGGAAGGCAGGGATCATGTCTCCTGTACCTATTATGCCTACCTCTGGTTCAGGACATAGTAAGGGTTACAGATTTCAGATAATTGAGATAAAAACAGACAGATATACTCACATAATTTATATACTTGATAAATCTTTTGATTGAATGAAAGTCATTGAAAATTTAGTGATCTCATCTCTGCAGGGGAATGTGTCTGCTCTTATGTCAAGGTTAGCTTTTTCTTCTCTACAGATAGGTGGAGGTTTTTTTTTTAACCATTTCCCAAATTTCTTGACAAATGTAATAGAAATACTTTCCAGTGATACTTCAGAAATTATTTGCTTATTAATATATGTTAATGTCATGTAACTATTTTTTCCTTCTTATTATACCAATTCAAAATAAGCTCAGCAATGCTTTAGTTTCTAAGTGTTGATTGAGTTTGTTTGTTAGGATTGTCCTATTTTCTTGTATTGGTCATATTTTATGTATATTACTAATGTATGAGTTTTGAAACTTAAGTGATTTTTTTGTTGTTGTTGGTAAATATTTCTCTTGAAGTTTTCCTTTTTCTGCTTCCTTTCTGCCAGCAGCTTAGTTGCTTAACATATTAATTTTAGTGGCATAGCAGAGGGATTTTAGGAAATAAATGTTTGGCAGCATTAAGTATCCTGATATTTGTCTGACTCATAATTTTTGATATTTGGTAATTTGTTGTAGAGTCTAAACTATATTCATAGTTTGAGTTACTTTATGAATTCATGTTTTAGTAAGGCCTTTGAAAGTTCTTTTTGTGATTAACATGCTCTTTTAGTTATCGTCTACAAAGGTGCATTTTTATCCTGCAAAGGAATGAGCTTGTATGCTAGTCTTTATTGTAGTACTTTGCTTTTTCCCACTTTTCTATTTTGCTTACCCTTTCTTTTATGAAGCACTGGTATTTTATTTGTGGGTTTTTTGGGGATTTTTTTGGTACCGGGGATCGAACTCGGGTCCTTGAGCTTGCGCAGCAGGCAGCGAAACCACTGAGCTAAATCCCCGGCCCAACTGGTATTTTGGTGGTGCTGGGAGTCAAATTCAGGGCCTTGTGAATGCTAGGGAAATGCTGTACCACTGAGCTACAGGCTCAGCCCGTTTTTAATTTTTAACTTTTATTCAGAAAATATCATGATCATTTAGAAAACAGTTTAATGTGCAAAGGTATAATATCTAAAATGATTGATGCACCAGTGTTTGTAGTGTACTTATTGCAAAAATAAAAACGTGGCCCCCTTAAATGAAGGTACAAGAGAAATTGGCAAGTAGAGAACTACTTCTTATACCTTTTTGTTGACCTTAGTTATTAACCAATTTCATTTTTTTTTCCTTAGAATTCTGCAAAGCATATAGTCCAAATTCTATTTTATAGTAATACTTAGCTATGCAATGTACTACCAAGTCCTCTGGGAAAACAAGTGTAAAGTGTATATATTTTGAAGATAGTATTTTGTTTTACTAAAAATAATATCACTTTTGTTAATTTTAAGTTTTAACTTTGATTAGTCATTATGTTTCTGAAGTAGTTTTCTGTTATGAAGAGTGATAATTTTCCAAGGCATAAAGATTAAGGAAATAAAAGAATTTAAAATATAGGTGTCTTTCTTTATATAATAATATGTAACAAATTGCTGCTACAATAACTTATTAGGTATCACCAATTATTAATTTATGTGTAAGTTAAAGTATTGATGAAACACTTATGTATACCATCAGTTTATTATTTGCTATTTTTTATGTATGTGCTTATCAGAAGAAATCAATTAGACTAGAAATAAGTAATTTATTTTATTATGACTTAGTTTAGTGCTAGAATAATGCAGAGTTAATTCTCCATGGATTTTTATTTTGAAAGTATTATTATTGTTTTTTAAAAAAATTGTTATAATTAGGTTTTGATATTTCTTTTAAACATATAATTTGGAACTTCATTAGAAAAGTTTTGGTCATCTGCTTACTGATGGCTACATTTTCTTTGAATGATTAATTAACCAAGTACTTCAAAATGAGATATAAACAAAAATGCTATTCTATTGCTCTTAAATTTCTTCATTTTATATAAACTTAAGGTTATGCTGCCCTCTGCTTGTTGTCAGCTTACCAACAATTGAAGTGGAATTTGAACTCTGCAACTTTTAACCTTCCAAATGTCTTTTCTTACATTCATTTTTGTTTTTAATTGCTACTTACCAAATATATAATTTAGATGTTAGAAAATGAAAATAAATCTGTAGAGATTTCCTGAATTTGACAAAATGACCTTAAAGGCCTTTCTGAAACTGATTATTTGTTGATTTTTAAATGATTTTATTTTATTTATTTATTTTTTTGGTACCGGAGATCGAACTCAGGACGTTGTGCTTGCCAGGTGGGTGTGGTGCCACTGAGCTACATCCTGGCCCTAAATGATTTTAGAGAGTACTCATTTATAGAATAAAAAGGTGGAAGTCTTATGAAAAATACTAAGGTTAGATAAACCAAATTGATAAAATGAAGAGAATTTCATTTGTGGAAACATAGAAATAAGAACCCAAAGTACTGGCCCTATGCTGGGGAAAGGTCACAGAGCATCCTAGGAACTTCTAGTGCTCTTTCTCAGCTGACTGAGGGTAAGGAAGAATTTATCCACAAAAGCTATGACTTTTCATTGAAGTTTATAAAATCTCATGATTGAGGCAGCTAATTGAATGATTCATAGCAACGCTTTTCTTTTATTCCCACCTCCCTCCTTTTTTTTTTAACACTAACTGGTATTGAACCCAGGGCCTAAGGAATGCCAAGAAACACTCTTAACACTGAGTTACATCCCCAACCCTAAGTTGCTTACATTGGCATTGAACTATGGTTCCTACAACCTCAGTCTCCTGAGTAGCTAGCATAGGCCTTTGTCCGACACCTGGCTCAGAACAGTGATTTTCCAGGTGCAGTGTGCAACCAGATCTTGGGGTAGGGCCTGACAGTCTGTATTTCTAATAACACTGAGATAAAAGCCGTGGCTCCTCTGATTGGCTAGATTTTGAGAAAATATTCAGTATTACACCCCACTGCTTATTAGAACAAATGAGATGTTATTGACTTTTCTTATCTAACAGTGGTGATGTATTTGCACTGAAACTTCCTCACTTTTGGTTCCAAATGACATGTAATTAATGTTCATATATACAAAATAGCTGTCTTAGATCTGGGCTGTTGTACTAGTCAGTGTTCCATTACTGAGACAAAGTACCTGACATAAACAATACAAAGAAGAAAATGTTTAGTTTACCATATGGTCTCTGAGATTTCAGTCTGTTGTTAGCAGGTTCCAAGCAGAAACATTATGGCAGAAAGGCATAGGGGAGGTAAGCTGCTTACCTTATGGCAGCCAGGAAGCGGAGTAGGTGGGAAACAGCCACAGAGAGGTAAAGGGTCCTGGGATAAGAATATACCTTTCCAAGTTATGCTTCCAGTGATCTTCCTCCAAACAACCACTACCTCCTACAAGAACATTCAGCTATAAATTCATCAGTGGATTAATCCCTTGATGACTTTAGTATCCCCATGATCTAAGCATCTTCCAGAATCTCTGCCTCTGAACACATGAGCTTTTTGGGGGTTGTTTTTGCTCTGAATAATAACAGATGTAAACTGATTAGTTTATTGGGCCATGCAAAAATTAAGCTTTTGACCTTAGCATGATGCCTTGAGTGCTGAGAAGAAAATTTCAGATATAGGTATCCAGAGTGAAAATGTCAGAATACCTTGGTAAAGAGAAGAGAGAAAAGAAGAAAAGTATTTATTGAGTGCTACATACCCTGTGCTCTGCTTAGTGCTTGTTTAATTCTCACAACAGCTATTTTTCTTATTCTTGACTAAACCAAGAAAATGCTTTGTAAAAACAAACACAATGCATTTGGAGTTAGGTCCACTGGGATATACTACAATATTTTAGTACAATATCTAACTCAGTGAGTCTCCTCTTTAACTTCCTAACTCTTAAAAAGGTAGAACCCAGAACTAACTGTAGACCTCATGAAACACTGTCCCATTTGTGATCTTTAAATGCCATCTATTTGTTCATGCTTTCAAAATTTATATTTCCATATCAGACATACCAGTTGAACTCCAGACTTGTGTATATGTCCCTTTTGACATCTTTATTCGATGACAGAAGATATCTACAGTTTTGTGTCTCAAACCTAGTTTTTTGCTTCCTCTTACAAGTGCATTCTCCCTATATTCTTCACTATTTCAGTAAGTGCCAACTCCATCCTTCCAGTTGATAACTGATCGGGCAAAAATTAGGCACAGTGCCCCTGAGCTAAATCCCCAGCCCTTGATTCTTGTCTTTTACTCATACCTGTATCTAATCCCTGAGCAAAAATTGCCATTTCTCCCTTTAATATC